TAGACGGATGTGGGCGATTCATGAGTTGTGAGATGCTGGAGGCAGTGCCTTGCGCACTAGCGCGACACTGTGAGAAACTGAGGAAGGCATCGACTATGGGAGTAGAGTCACGTCGGGCAGTTACTACACCCGCTGCATTGAGAGCGGTCTGCGCCTGTGTAGGTGCCATGAAGTCAGATGTAAGTATACTCGGTAAGGTGTGAGTTCGAATATACTGTTAAGAACGTGCTCAAGGGTCGGATCCGAAGGGCTTGGCTTCAGCTCGTGCGCTGCGCCCCTTACCCGAGTACGTGCCCCTAACTTCCGAAGACTGTCGAACAATGTCCGAAGGTTACCGGACGATGTCCGGAGGGCGTCGGGCGATGTCCGGAGTCCGATGTCCGATGCGCGGGAATTCCGGCGGACGTTCAGGAACAAGAGATAAGACTAATCCGGATGAAGTCCAAACTAGAAAGGAAACAGCAGAGGACTACCAAAGGTAGAGGCGGAGGTGACAAGTCTATAGGAATCAATCCTAAGATGAGCGGAGGTCGATGAGAGAGAAACTCAAGTCGGACGGAGGAGAGAATGAGCAGAGTCTAAGATGATATTCGAACTGAGGAAACTACAGAGACTGTACAGGGTTTATATACTACTGAGGACATAACGGAGAACAGTAAGTGCAGTGTGAAGCTATGTAAAGCTATGGAGAAAACATATGGGACGACTATCACTAGTCTATCGGAACTTAGTAAAATGAAGATGGAAATGAATAAGGGACGGAAAATAAAGCGTACTAACTGATAAGGGAAATACCAAAGGGATAAGGCACAGAAGTTAGACGCGGGTTGGATCCGGACGATACATAGAAGTCGGTCGGATTCGGAAATCCGGAAATGATGAGTGTGATAGATCCGGACCCGGAATGCGGGATATGACAAATGGAGGACAAGGTCAACCTGGAGAAGCTGAAGAAGAATATATACCTTACAGTTCACTTGAATGCTTATGCAATCACAACTCACATTCGTGATTGCCTTTGTCAACAAAAGTTTGAATTGGAGAGACTTGAGAGATCATACAGAGTCACAGTCAATGGTGCATTGATAGTTTGACTACACTGATACATCTCAGAATTTTCCAGCTGAGTGTAAGCTTCATGTGAGTACCCAACACTCAATCAAACACCAAGAGCCTGGCATCCTCAAATTTATTACTACCTACAACAGTTTGTGTTCTCAACTACGGTCTCTTATACGACAGCAGCGAGCACCTCCTTCTGCTGTTCCCCCTCATATCATCCCGTGTGATGGCATCTTTCAGCTCAATGTTGATGATGACATCTGGCAAGATGTTAGGCTAGATGACGACACTTTGAACCCTCCAGTGTGGCTATCAGATGACATGGTCAGGAATAGTATCCAGTTGCAACTTGAAGTTGATTAGTGCAATGAGGAGGAGGCTCGACTGATGTGGGAGAGGGCCTTCATTCAAGAATGGATGTTAGCAGAGTGACACAGTATGCAAACTGCCTCACATAAAGCAGGTGTGTCAGCGTGCAATGTTATTCACAGTATCTAATTACTTCATAGTCGCAGATCCAGTGATGTCTTTCCACCTTTGGTCTTGCACAGATGAACTTGTCAACATCTGCATCATCTGGAAGAAAAAGATTCAGTATATTCTGTGCGTGTGGCCTATGATTGCAAGCTGGGGACCCTCTGATGAAGCTTTGGTTCAAGCCGCTTATAATCAGGCGCAATCGTCGTTTCGGGATGAGGATGATGACAAGAGTCTGGAAGGAGATAGAGAGGGTGATTTTGAGAGTGACCTGGAGTATGGCAAAATTGAAGATGAGGAACTGATGGATGCTATTGAGGAGATTGCATTGGCTGAATATAGGTATGGTCAGAATAGGGAGTTTGTGGATGACTTGGATGACATTGGTGATGACTTCATGCCTTATTCCCCTATAAAATCATTACACAAGCGGCGCAACATTTAGAATGTGGTGTATTTTTTAATAAGATATTCTCTGTCACATCCTCTATTATATTGTATCTGAGTGGTGGTGTTATCAAGACATGTAAAAATGAGGATTGAAATGGCAATACATAGACAGGTTATTTAGACAAGTAAAAAGGTGTGCAATGAAGTGATTGCATAGAGGGGGCAATCTGGAGAAGTAAAAAGGTGTGTGATGAAGCAAGCACATAGGGGGGGGGGTTATCTGGGCAAGTAAAAAGATGTGTGATGAAGCAAGCACATAGGGGGGGAGTTATCTGGGCAAGTGAAAAGGTATGTGATGAAGTGAGCACATATGTCATATCCCGTATTCCGGACCTACATCCGACAATATTCCCACGCCTCATCCGGACCTTCGGACGCCCTATCCATGTCTCCAGTCCTCTATCCATCCGGATCCCTGCACCTCTGCACATCCACATCCGCGCATCCATGTCCAGATCCCTTTACCTCCGTACATCACACCTCCATACCTCCGCAGCTAGCCTGCATCATTCATCCTTTGTCCTATTGCCCTAATATCATATCCCGTATATCCACGCTTCTTGTCCGGACATCCGGTCCGGTCCGATCCGATATACGATAAACTTCCTAATTCATTTCCTGTGCATATAATGTTGACACAGCCTATTCCTCTATTCGGTATTCCTTGTCCTCGGTATCTCGGTTATACTTACTACCGGTACGCTTACTGATCCATTAACCTATGCTTCATTTCCGACTCGTGCTTGATAACTTTGCTTATGCTTCATACATAGCCTCGGACGCTTGCTTACTGATCTTTCCGTTATTTCCTTAGTATATAAACTCTTGTATATGTCCTGTAGTTCCTCAGTCTGAATATCATATTAGTCCTCGCACTAGATCTCACTCTAAGTCCTCATATCAGTTCTAGTCTATCGACTTAGTCAATATCCATCTCGGGCCTAGGGAGAAATTCCCTAGGCCAGAGCTCCGCTTATCCGCTCATCCGATCCTCCGAAGTTTCCGGACGTTCGTCCGAAACTTTCCCGCAGTCCTCCGGACCTATTCTGCTTCAGACTTTGTCCTTGCAGCCTTTCCTCTGTTTGCTTCTACTTAGGACTTGTCCTAAGTAGCCATTACATGTATCCGTATCAGGATGAAACCTCATCGTAATTTCCGGAAGTTCCTCCGGAACTTTCCCGCACTCGTCCGGAAGTTACTTGCACTCGTCCGGAAAGTCCTTCCGAACTTTCCCGCGCTTCGGATGTCCTTCGGATGTCCTTGGACTTTCTTTGGACATCATTCTGAAATTAAGGGCACATACTCGGGTAAGGGGCGCAGCGCACGAGCTGAAGCCAAGCCCCTCGGAATCAGTCCTACCCTTTGTGCACGGTCTTAACAACATATAGGAGAGTGATTTGGACAAGTAAAAAGGTGTGTAATGAAGCAAGCACATAGGGGGGCGTGTTATCTTGTCCCCCTAACTTGTAAGTCCCACTATTTCATATGGTCTGCCCTACTTGGTCTATAATGTCATTGTGGTCTGCCATATATGACATATGGTCCTCCCTACTTAGTCTATAATGTCATTGCAGTCCGTCCTATATGACATATGGTCCGCCCTACTTAGGCTATAATGTCTTTGTGGTTTGCCCTAGTTAGTCTATAATGTTATTGCAGTCCACCCTATATGGCATATGGTCCTCTCTAGTCAGTTTATAATGTCCTTGTAGTCCGCCCTAAATAGCATATGGTCTGTCCCATGAACTTGTATGGTCCTCCCAATATACATGGGCTATTCCACTAACTGTGTGGTCACTCCCTGTTTCCCTTTGTGGTCTTCCCTATATAATATTATAACACAGTCTATTCCATCAAATCATGTGATTGTTTTGATTGAATCAATCAGTTATTTATAGTCTCACGTAACCATGTTATCACAATGCAGATATCAATCATAAATGTTTATAACAATTGCTAGTTCTTGCTGAAGGATTGTATAAATAATGATTAGTACAGATAAACCTAGTACAGGTGCTAAACATCATACCTCCATTGTTATCTGCATATCCAAGTGTACCAGCTATGAGGGTATAGATTTTAGGGTGGGTATGCCACATTCAGACCCATACCTGCATTCTATGAAATCATGTTTATTGAAAGTCATATTAAAACAAGGAAATTTATTATATATATGTCATATACTTATACTCAACAGACGAGCATCAATAAGCAAGTGTCAAATGATGAGCCCAAAAGGATGAATGCTAACAACAGATACCTATGCAGAATCTCATACACTGATTCCCTGCTCAAAAGCATGCTTATATATGTTAGATATAACACAAAGGTTCATTGTAGTCTAATGCTATTCGCCGTCAGAATCAATAGAAAAATACCACAAACTATTTAAAATTTAGGTGGTTTGTGGACCCCAGACACCCCTATATATTTGGGAAAATCCATTAGATATATGGTCCAAAGTACCTTATGGTACTTTCCATGACATGTTCCCAATGGTCTTTGGTCTATGTACAGTACATACTCTTTTGGTCCACAAAAATAATAGGGAAAGACCATTGAACATTGGAGAGACCAGCAGAAAGATACCTCTTAGGTACAAACCTCTATAGGTGACAATCAACCTAAGAGGTGTCTAAAATGAGGTGACCAAAGTGCATTATCACAGAACAGCAAGACCATAGCAAGTGGGAGTGAGGATAGTGCAGTGAAATTGTGGGACATTGTAGGTATACAACATAGAGTGGGGCTATACAAAGATAGCTCCAAACTAATATCTTTATGTTGTGGTCTTGCACTGCCTAGTCTGCTATACTTGGTGAGACAAGTGTGTTCGACCCAGGGGTCTGTGGTCTGGAAATAGTTTTGGGGGTCAGTGAGTGATGTGGGGTCAATAATCTAAGTACAGGAAACAATGTCCAAAGGTATAATTATTATGATGTCCTATGCAAAAGTGTCAGGTCCAATGTTTTTGGGTTTTTGGGTTTGGTGTAGCACTCGAGCTTGCGCTAGGCTCATATTTAGCTGATTCACGATTCATGTCCAACGCCCATTGCACAATAATCTCTTCCCACTCAATCCGACACTTTGACAGCGGACCCGACACTTTGACTAGTGGACCCGACATTTCGGCCACATCGGACCCGATATTTTCCAGTGCACTTGTCCTATCCGTGTCCCGTCCTGTTTGCTAGCCCCACTAGGTGCGTAGTTCATTATTTCACACATTACTCACGTTGTAGCCAGCACTATTACATGTTTTCCCATAGTCCGCAGCGCCTCATGTTTATTTACATGTACTTTGGATCCGAAATATTCCGCCACTATTTTCGCCTACGGGTTCCGCATTTCTATGTATTTACATATATATTGGACTGACCTTGAGCATTATTCATTATGCAAGTAGTGGGGAGCCGTTCCCCGACGCTTTGTGGTCAAACCTGATATTTCGTAGTTCTTAGTTGACATTGCGAATATTACCGCTCTTTCTATCCAAAATACCTGTCTTTATCAATATTCCGCATACTGCTCGCTTTCCCGACATTCACTATCACTATTCTCCGTAACCCATTGAACCCACACCCAAAACCCGCTAACCCGCTAACCCAAAAACATCGGACCTGATGCTTTGGCATCGGACTCATGATTATACCTTCGGACTTTGTTTCCCACACTCAGACATTTGATCACTTGTCATTTCACTGCTTACAGACTAACACCAGATAGCTAACCCCTCGGGTCGAATGCACTTGTCTACAAGTAAAGCAGACTAGGCCGCGCAAGACCACAACATTTATATTGCTGGTTACTTACTTCGTGTAGTGTCCAGCAATTGTTGTCTCATTACATCGGGTTCGGTGTATCGGAAACTAATAGTGACATGATAGTGAGCATCAGGAAAGCGAGTGGTATGCACAATAATAACAATGACAGATATGGATGGTGAAGGAACAATGATATTCACAATGTCAACTAAGAACTACGAAATATCAGATTTGACCCTAAGTGTCGGAGAACAACTCTCCTCTACTCGGATGATCATGATACTATGGAGAGTCTAATATTTATGTAGATACATAGAAATCCAGTGTAGAGACTTGTGCGTCTCAATGCTGAATATGCGGCCCTTTACCCACATAATCCCCTATATGTTCCAGCTCTTATCCATAGGATCAGTCTTGCGCGCACGCCTTACTTGCACTTGTGCCTCGCGTGCGCATTTGTGCGCCTCACCCTAGGTCTTTGCGCTCCTGTCCGTCTGTCCTATGTCCTCGCTGATTTACTGGTGCATTATTCTTATCATTCTCATTGAATTGACATATCCTCGGTCCGATCTCCGCGCTTACATACAGAACACCTATCTTAGGCTTTAAAATATATTTAGTGTTGATATAGTTACTCAGTTCGGTACCGCGCTCGGATGCGCCACATAGCGTAACTCTTGGGCGCAATTCCCCTTCTTAAAAGGAGGGAGGGTTCCTTAGGACAGGTTTTTCTACTTTTCCCCTTATCTCAGTATACTACAAAGTGTATATTCCACCTAAGTGCTAGAAATCTGATTATACTTCTCTATCGACTATCACCCGTGCTTCCGCTATTCTTTGAAGACTCTTTCCCTTATCGCTTGAAGCACGCCTCCACTTACATGTGCGCAACCCCTGCACCTCTCGCTTACGCGCGCTGTAGAGACTCATGCCTCTCATGGTGTGATATGGCACTTTTCACTAGGGAGTTCATTGCACAAACTTGCAGCACCATTCTGTGTGCTATCTGCAGCTATCCCTATATGAGGCGCAGCTTTCCCGCGCAATGCGCGCCATGCGCGCACCATTCCCGCGCTTTACTATGTATACGCGCGCGCGCTTTCCCGCGCTTGAGCGCCCTATAGCGCCAGCCGTCCGGAAGCATCCATCCACTGCCCACCAAGTTCTCTAGTGCGTATGTTTCCATTTCTCTTATCTGTGTATCGTTCCACCTTTATTTTTATCATGGACCCTTACTTACATACATATATCTTTGCATACCTTACTCAGTAGCGATTCGGCTCCACATGACAGCGCTTAGGCGCCATATAAGCACCAGCATTACATACTGAACTCACTTTCCAACAATTACTTTACCTCCCACTTACCACCCATCTACTACCTAGCAGAATATAGTTGCAATCTATTCCTTGGCACCTCGCACTCACATCTCTTGTTATTCATCATATCACCACTTAAGCAAACTCACTCTTACTCTCACTTGTTTCCGCTCACGCGCGCGTGCGCTTCCCGCGCCTCGCGCGCACCTGTGCGCTTTCCCGCTGAAGGTACAACAATTCAGAGAGTGAGTCTGAACAATGTTGGGTCTTGCAGAACCTAGCTGCTATTCGACCCTAAAGGGTTTCTGGACCAGGCTCAAGGCTCAGAGGAGAGGAAATATCATGAAAAACTGCTTAGTACTCTGACTCCTACTGGTAACTGGTGAAAAAATAACTTCCTTATGTAAGCTACAAAAGTGCCAACATAAGGTAAGGTAAAAACAGTCTCTACAAGCCCAGCCAGAAATGAATCCCTACACCGCGCTTCGCATTGGCCGACCAGTAGCGCCTTCAGCGCCTACTACCAGATCCTTGCTGCACTCGCTTCCTCTTTAGGGTCGAATGCACTTGTCGTCTCAAGTATAGCAGACTAGGCAACGCGCGACCTCACAACATTTACAGATACAGTCAGGAGCATCATTTGTTCCTCTCGGTATTGTAGTTTCTATAGCGCATCTCACGCACCTTTGTCTTGCTTACGCACACCTTCGTGCGCGTTATCTTCTCGCGCCTACTAGCGCCTGTCTAGTTGACAGAGTTTACCTCCATTTTATTAGTGAGGAACTTCTCTCAGTAGCTGTCCTTTGGGTCGAGTTGTATTCTCATATCCAGGTCTTGCTGTAGAGTCCCCATTGGTTTTTAGTGTTTTCACCTATAGTCAAGATTTCTCACCTTCACTGGAACCCTATAGGTGAAAGTAGTAGTGCGATATTTTGGACCTGATGTCCTATGTAATAAGACATGATGTACTGCGGACTATGGGAATACATGTAATAATGTGGTCGACAATGTTAGGGATGCGAAAACAAGTAACTACGCTGTAGGGAATGATTCCTGGCTAGCCTTGCAGAGACTGTTTTTACCTTACTGTTATGTTTGCACTTTTGTAGCTTACATAATGAAGTTACCTTTTCGCCAGTTACCAGTATGAGTCTGAGTCTTCAGCAAGTTTCTATCATATTTCCTCTTCTCTGAGTCTTAAGCCTGGTCCAGAAACCCTTTAGGGTCAAATAGCAGCTAGGTTTTGCAAGACCCAACACATTGTTCTGAATCACCATCAGAATTGTTGTACCCACAATGCACCTAGTGGAGCTAGTGCAATGAGACTGGACATAGGTAGGACAAGTGCACGCGATATATGATAGGCTGATGTGAAACCCAATGCAATGTCCAATAGTCCAATAGTCCGATGTCCGATGTTTTTGGGTTTGGTGCATATTGAGTTGGATATAATAGGGAATGATTTGGGTAATGATTAGCATTTCAACATGCATTGGAAAATAGACCTCTACGAGGCCACAAGGACTTCAAGTCCTACAACATCAACTCAGACACAGGCAAGGTCATTAAAACCTGGATGAGACACACACAAGAAGTGAAATATGTATGCTGGAGTTCAGATGGAGGGCAAGTGGTGAGCAGATCTGATGATGGAATATTCAGAGTGTGGGGTGTCCAGAGTGGAGAAAATATCTTGGGACCAATCAAGGCAGGGGATTACATCTTGACAATTGAGCCTCTTTGCTACTCACCCGATGGCAAGATGATTGCTACCTATGGAGGTCACTTAGGTATACATGAAATAAAATTAAGTGGATAATAAAGCTCAAATTAAATACTAAACCAACTTAAAGATGATCGAACATTGAGAATCAGACTTGCAGTTTCGTGACAAGTTGGAACATACTTTTAAGTATGTATCACTGTTATACTGTGACCCATCTCATCAACTTCATCCACCATGTTGTTGCAAGTTAGACCATGGGAGCTCTGCATGATAATATGAGCAAACATGTTACCAAGGTATATGGTCTCTGACCTGCATTGAACCCACTTGCCATGCAGGTGAGATGCTTTCCAGGTAAGCTTCAATCTATGCCTTTTGTTTATTCCTGAGACCTACTCATTGATCCACTTATCTTAAAGACCTTAGGCCTTCACATTCACTTAGTGCCTGCCACTCTAATGGTTTCACAGCGGTATTCACCCCTAACAATGAAATAAAACATCATATTGAGATCCAGTCAGCCCAGAAGACACAGGCATCTATGAAAGTGTTGGCCCCTAGCACTGCCACAACCTCTACGTCAGCAGTCCCACCCCATAAATGTATGTTATAACATTCAGATAAGTCTACAGATCTGGTGCTGATTAATTTTCATAGCCAAAAAAAGAAAAGCCTCACCCAATCCTGTGACATCAATGTCCAATCCTACATTGTTGTTCAATCCTGCATTGATAACTGAGTTCAGGAAGATACTAGCCTTGCTGCAGAACGAGATGGTGGAGATTTGGGGAGAGAATGAGACCATGAGAAAAACACATACCAAGGACATTAAAGCACTGAGAAAAGTAAGTCACCTGTCTTTCTGGCCACAAACCCTGACAACAATCTCTGCAGGTTACAATGTTAATAGTCCCTTTACATCTTTGCGTCCTACTCAACCTTGTGTACAAAAAAGTTCTGGGACACCTCAGCCATAAGACATGAGATGACCTTCGTGCCTCCTACAGTTACAGTGATATTTTCAATTATCTCAAGAGGATTCCTAGAGTTAATATAAATATAATTATAAGTTTAAGTGAAGTGGCACCATGTTACATTACTTTCATCTTTTTCTCATTGCCTGCCTGGCAGTTGAACAGCCTGAGCATGAGTAAGTTGTCAAAGTGAGGGATCAATGATATCCATAAATCATAAGCAATAAATAATAAGTTCTACCAATATTGATATTATATGGTTAAAACTCAGCTATTGGCATCTACTGTGCTAACCTTATATTATCTTTAAAGTTGATAAATTTACTTTATCTTGGGTTACTAAACTGACTCAGTAGCTGCCATCTAGACTATGAAATGAATCATGTGCTGTACAGGAATACCAGAAACATGTAGTTGAATACATTAAAATAGCCCATCATCATGACACTGCTCAGAGAGTCACAGTACTACTAAAACATCAATGATAATTAGTGATTATTTATTAGACTTTGCCTAGTCACTTGTACTTCTCAGTTTCTCACCAATAGTGCATTTTCCTAAGCCTATAAGTCATTGCAGTCTGCTTCAGCTCCAGTCACTACTTATCCCTCAGCTATAGTAGCCTTTGCTTTCTTTGCTCAGCCTTTATCATCTAATGGACATGCCAATTCCTACACTACTGAAACTAAGTTGATTCAATGCAGAAAGTATAATCTTGTCATAATGTATGTAGGAATTAGCATAGATATATCCTAGGGTATCTAAGATGGCTATACTCTCACCCATACCTACTAATATGCCCTCATTTATAGTATAGGTGTTGGTTTTTGAAGAGTACCAGAGATAGACACCCCTACCCACACCTATAGTGGATATACTCTAGGGTAACACTTTTCTCAATCATATATATTATTATTTGAAGGCAAAGGTTCTGTATTAGACATACTGTAGAGAAGTTCAAAATACCTAGAATGCTTGATAGTATACTGGCCAGGTCATTATTATTATAGAGCTCATCAATCTTGCAATCACATAATATAATCTATACAATTACCTTAGCTAGCATCATAACTTTCATTAAAACACTAAAGCATAATAACACTTTTCAATTCTTATATCCACACTCTCACATCTACAACTCACATAACATGAGTTTCATATATTCATACTTTTGCCTAAATGTATGTAATGTAGGATTCCAATAATGCAATCATATATCATACAAAATAAAATAAAAACTGACTGGCACAGCAGAGTGCTGTGATAATGTGATGGTATAGTGCAGTTTCAGAGATTGTTGTAGTCTAAGAATCCATCACTGCATGATTCAGGGCTAGTGGAACATTGCTATAAGCAAAGTAATGAGAGTGGATTAGTAGGTTTTAATATAGATAATTAGTTTCATAATGAGTGATGAACCAAAATAAAACTTACTAATAGCATATTATACTTATACATGTTTCTACAGGGACCCCTTTAAGGCCAATAAGGAGCAAGATAGAGTGGAATATTGGATGAATTCGCAAATCAAGATCTATAAAGAATCTATTGAGGCTGTGAACATGAAATTGTCAAGAAATATAACCACATATCGAGATACACCTGCAGATGCTGACTCATCTAACAATGGCAAGTCTACAAACTTTAGCTTATATTCCTGAATCCTAGATACAACTTACCAAACTACATAGGCACTAAAAGACTAAATATAAAGTTTGCTCAAAACATAGTAAAGAAGAAGGAAAGAAATTAGATGAGACCAATTGGTCTTTCTTGCTGATTCCTAACCTTTGCCTGTGTTATGGGAATAAGGGATATTGTAAGAGTAAGACTCCAGGTAAGAATCATAGCCAAGATGGTTTATGCTATACTATCAAACCCTAACCTTAAGACATGGTAATTCATCATTCTTATCACCAAAAGAATTCCCAAATGAAAGGCAAAGATAATAGCTCAAATAATTAAACTAGTGATACCTTATAGTGTGTCATTAGGGGCCAAGGGCTGCACATATATGAATGTGTCATGATAACAGCAGAAATGCCAGGGGCCTAGGGATGTGCAATGTCACTGATATGTGAATGTGCTGTGATAGCAGTGAAAGAATGATTCTGATACAAAAAAATTATAGTGTGATACAAGTAATAATAAGCACTAAGAAGGCCTAAGTTGAACAAGAATCATCCATATTCTAAGTTAATATCGTAATCATCTAGCTGAGTCAGTGTCGTATATATCACTATAAGCCAAGTATCTATCTTTTTAGAATACCTAAGGTACTAGCAGGACTCCTAGAGTTAATATAGATATAATTATGATAATCAATTTAGTTTATATGAATATATGTATTATTTTAGGTTATGAGACTATGGAATTTTTATTGCTCTTGATGCTCTTATTATTATAAGAGTTTTTAATATTATAGATACTATCAATGATATATATAGCTTGGAGTAGAATGATGATTAAGCAGCAGACACTTTTAGTGCATTATAATCTACATCAATCTTACTCTTCTGGCTGCCATTATCACTATCACCTTCACTATTATTCTCTATATGAAGAAGATAGGTCATATTAGTTTCTTTCTTATAAATATTAAAACATGAGAAAAACTATCATGTCAAAAAGAAAGATACTCATAGAATATTCTGATACATCTCTTCCCTCATTTTCTTTGTCCACCTTGTTGTCTTCTCCTGAAGATTCTTAAGGAAGTATAAATAAAATAAATATCTATATCATATTCTAGTCTAGAAACACATCTGTCAGACATATAAAATGAAATACTTTGTTTATAATACACATCTCTGAAGTTTTTACTCCAGTCTTCTGATAAGAGAGAGTGCACCCCACCTAAGATATATATAAGATAATACATAATATTCAATATGATGAAATTGACTTACTACTGTTGTAATAAGGGCAAGAAGGAGTAGAGAGGAGTTCCTAAAGTATTGGATATAATAAACTCTATTAGGGTCATTATCTGTAAAGAACAAATAATATATGTGCAGAAAAAAATAGTTGCCAAATTGTTTGTTCTTGTTAAAAGTCTTATTCTAGAACACATAATTAGATAGTAGATGACATTTGTGCTCATAGAACATACCTTGATATCTAAGTTACTAGAAAAAAAAGCAAAAAAAAGTCTTCATCTCCTTCACCTTTCTTATGAACCTTCTTAAGATTCTTTAGCATCCACTTAAGTTATTTTAAGAATGAATGATTCTCCTTAGATCAGATTAGAGGCAAGGACTATAAATATATGATATACATTTTACTGAGCTATATAATAGGTAAGGTTCCTAGAGATGTTATCATTAGCTACAGGTCATTACTTAACTTTATCTATCTTGCTTAATATTCTTCATATGATGACACTAACATATATGGAAAAGATTCTCAAAGATTTTTACCATCACTAAAATATTCTCTTTAATCTCAAAATTAGAGAATATCTGGATATACCCAAAACCTATTCTCTTCTTCATTATGTTAACTCTAATACATTGGTACACATCAATTGCTAAACATTTTTAAATCACTTGCTATCATATTCAACTTAATATGCATTAAATTCAAAAAACATTAAATTATTAGATATCATATCAGATTTTATATTGGGCATTGAACTTCACATTAGTTGATTAGATATTGTATACACTTGCCCTACTCATGTTCTGTTCTATCTCACTAACTCTACTAGGTGCATAATTAGTTATTTTTATATTATTAACATTGTAGAACATGTTATTCATGTATTCTCATAGTCTGCAGTATTGAGGTTAGAATTCCACATATGAGATAATTAAACTAAAAAGATAAAATCTCAGTCTATAGACTCATGTATATTAAAATATATATATTTAGAAAAATACACTAATAGAATAGTTAGTACACATCTAAGAGAGGGTCCATGTTTGAACTGAGTTTAAAACATGTCTGAAACTTCTCATATATGGTATAGTCAGGGCAGGCATCCGTAATGACTGTTTTAAGTACTCCGGTATACATTTTAATAATTTATTGTAGGTAGAATCATGAAATTTGTGGGAATCTAACACAAAAACTATGAACTATGCTAAAACTGTGAACTATGATCCAAATTCTATGTTTCAATAGCTAAGTCGAAATCGGAAAGAATGGCAGTAGACCCCTGTTGCGACCTCCCACAAACAATCAGATGGTCTTTCCATCTATCAAGACTTGCCTTCTCTTCCTCACTGAGAGAATATAAAAAGAAACTAACACTATCAAATATTGTCTTTTTCTCAGTCGGCAAAAACTTCTGCTTCATGAATATTAGTTGGCCTTATTCCAATAATGCATGCTCTATTATTGAACACGCAAGGCAGTACACATGATGCAGTGCCTCACAAGGTGATTGGTGGTTGCCAAGTAGCGTGTGAAGTCCGTGATTCGATAGCCAGATGAGTTTGATGAGCAGGCTGAATATGAATTTATTCTGGCATTTGTTATGTAATACTTATTGCTCGTCTTTTGTAGGAGTTCCACCTCAGTGTTATTTTGATACTCCCACTGAGGTATGTTTTGTTATTGACACTCATACAGTACACACACTGATACCTTACCTAGACTAGACTCTTCACTCCTCTAGCATCTATAATTGACGGTACAATGACTGGTGTGAGTGACATTGGCAACATCAGCAAAACCATCCAGAATCAGAAAGGCCTGGCAGCTCCTGAGAGGACTCCCACACTGTGTTGCTGACCTCACTGGCCTCACAAGTATGACATGTCATCGTAAATGACATCTGCAACATCCCCCACGCCTCCTCACTCCTTCACAAGCCTCACATACCATGTTACAAAACACCCGTGAGCCTCCCACGCTCCTTGCAAGGCACTGCCAGCTCTTTCTAGTGTCCCTTACTGCACTGTGATCTAAAGTAATAATACAGCAATTCGAACACAAACCAGTTTAGACTGTTCATCGCTGTGCGCCCCTATTCCAGCATTTGACTCGGTCAGTCCATTTTTCAGTGTATTCTGATTGATCATTGTACAGTAACTATGAGTACTGCTGGACCCAGCACTATAAATCTACAATCCAACCCCCTCAGCCTTGTCATAATTCAGCTCAGCCCACCTTCTTCACCATCTTCTGCCCCGAGGGCATCATCGTCCTCATCTTCTACAAGAACCTGATCTAGGCTGGTATATCCAAACTCATCTATCTCATCTGTGATATCGTCATTAATGAGATATTCTGTGGTGTGTGGATCTTGATTCACATCTTCTTTGTTGTTCTTATCTTTGTGGCACTCCTCCTCACTGTCTTCATCACTGCCACTGCCCTCTTCCTCAGCATCTTCCTCATCCTCCAGATTGTCATCATCCTCACCATTGTTTGTCATTTTTTCATCAGAATCTCGAGTTTCATGCATTTTCTCCATCGTAAATGGGAGTTGGTCGAGTGCATCACAGTCATTGAGTAAGCATCATGTGGCTTCATGGATAGGCTTGTGGCCAACACCACCACCACAATATCGCATAAACATGTCTCAATTGATGAACCTACATAAGTAAGTATAGTATTATGCTAATCATCATAGAAACTCACATGTTAACATAAAAATAATTCCAGTCATAAGCTCTGTCCTCCATTGACGACCAACAGAAGTTGATGGAATCAGCTGAGAGCAGCCATATGCAAAGGCTAGGATTAAATGGATGCCGTGGATCACATGTCTTGGATCTATGAATCCAAACACAGATGGATCATCGGCATTTAGGAATCTGACACGAGGGAGGCGCTTTGCAGCCCAGCCAGAAGGATAGGTCATGTCACACCCAAGCCAGCAGACCCAGAGCAAGTCCATGTGCTGTGGTACAGAGCTTTGGGACTCGGGGCCTGTATGTCGAACCATGACATGGAACACTCCAATGATTCATGCATATCAATATGGATGTGGGTTCTTACTCTCATCCTCATGAGCAAGAACCATCACATCTGCTTGTGTGCATGGATTGAGTGAATTTTGAGCTCAACAGAGGTCATAGGTAGTATAGTTGACATGGAGAACTTTGTATCAATAGATTTGATTGTTGATGATAGGAGCTGAGTTACGCTGCACTGGTGTGAATTCTGTTTTGTCACCTTCATATTGGGTATCAAGCAAGTGTCCTAGAATGTGCACTTTGAGTCGCAGGAGGAAATTCTTTTGAGGTCATATGAGTGATCATTTTAAACTTATAACAGAGACAAGTTCTCACCTGAACAGCAATATCATCACTGTATCCACTGAGCTAAGCCAAGATATCCCAGTAATACTTCCTTGAGGTTGAAATTTGATAGTGAGATTCAGGTGAGGAATAAGGAAGGGGGTCTTGATCATTGAAATGGAGAGAGGGGCGCTGTCCAGTCTTGTCAGCTAGTGGGTTGTTCTAAGCTGTTTGAACTGCCTCCATGTGCTCATGTTTTGTTGCAGCTTGTGGAGTATCCATTCTTGCTGTTGATGCTTAGTGATACCTCGCATGAATCAATTTTATTTGTATGTGCATAAAACTGTTTGACGCGACAATGCTCTAACTCACCCTGTTGAGTAATTAGTCAGAGTTCTTTGTGTGTGACATGAAGAGCCTACTACTTACAAATTGAGTTGAGTAGTTGTCTGTTGTCCTATACAGCCAAATTTATTTCACATAATCACCAAGTGTGTGAAGCTTATATGTTGACATGTTGGATTTTCAGTGTTTCGAGGCTGCTTGTGGTGCAACATTGGCCTTCCCCTTCCCCTTCACTGCTTTGGCACCTCATCAACGTGTACAAGCGGCAGTTTCTTGTGGAAGATCATGTGTGTTGAATTTGCTGCATGTTGCACTGCAAAACTTGCGCAAAGCTCGGCCAAGACATGTTGTGCAGTTGTCGAAGTGATGCAGTGTAGTCTCAGTATGCATCTGCAACTTTCCAAAAACATGCCAAGTTGAGAGTTCAAAGAGGAGGTTGAGAATAGTTGAGTTGTGATCTGGAATAAGTAGTTCGAAAACAGGGATAGAGCACTAGTAGACGACAAATCTAAGTTTTAATATTTAAACAAAAGAATGAATTGAGTCTTTTACCTGGAGAAGATCTTTGAAGTCATAAGCAGCAAGTTTTGTTAAGTCAGAGACATTACTACTGAATTTACATATTGTGTCTCGGCCAAACATTGGGACCATTCAATATCTAGAAAATCTGCATGAGTCAAAGGTTAAGAATAGGCTCGGAGGCAACATACCTTTCATTAAATTTTGGAATAAGATCATCTCCACATGCATGGAGAATCCGGATAAGATGTGTCAGAGTTGCCTTCCACATGCCAAGCTCAAATTTATGCATAAAATCGGGGACAAGCATTGAGTGGAAGTCAAAGCCAAACTTTGAGGGTTTCTCAACCCGAGTGGGAACCATTGACATAACACCAATCAAGTTCTCGATGAAAGTGCTGACAACACTGTGGCCCAATTTGAATATGAATTCACATACATGTTCAATCATAGACCGCTGGTGACGATCATCAAGTTGTACACTTTTATCCTGCTGGCACCGGTCCATTCTGTTGCCTAATCTGTCAATCTTGTCCTTGTTGACAAGACAGTGAGGACAGGGGCATCGCCCAAGAAATTTGATGCATGTGAGGAGAATCTTCTCAGGATAGTCTGCAGCGTACGTGAAAAACCAAGCAAAAACTTTGCATGAAATGCCATCAGGGAATTTGATGATGATGATGATGCCATGTTCCCATGTGTCTATGAACTCATCATCAAGCAAAAAATACCATATGGCACGCATGAGTTCCTGCTTGCAATGTGTGAGAACAGTTGCTGTAGCACTCCGTCCAAACCATCAAACATAAATGTCCTGGATCATGTCGGGCAGCTAAAGCTATTATTAGCACAGGCAAGCAGATTTTCTGTAAAATTAACATACCTTTGGGATGTAGGCAAGATGGTGAGCTGCAAATGATGTTGGCTTAGACCAAATATATTTCAACTGGTTACTGATGTAACGAAACAACAATTGTTGGACACTACACAAAGTAAGTAACCAGCAATATAAAAATGTTGTGGTCTTGCACAGCCTAGTCTGCTATACTTGCGAGACAAGTGCATTTGACCTGAGGGGTTCGCTGTAAGGTATTAGAATAATCAGATATACTAAAAGGAAGATAGTCTGAAGTGCAGGAAACAAAGTCTGAAGGTATAATTATGAGTCTGAAGGTGAAAACATCGGGTCCGATGTTTTCAGGTTTTTGGATTAGCGGATTACATCAGGTTACATCAGATTAGTATCGTAAATGTAGTGAATATCGGGTTACTGTCAGTGTTTTTGGAGTGTTTCGGATAATGAAAGGAATGATATTGTGGAATTCAGCAAAGAACTACAAATATCAGATGACCTCCTCCTACTCGAAGGTAGAAAGGTAAATAAGTAAGTAGAAGGTATGTGAAATATATAGTGTCTATGTAGAATTTCAGAGCACTATAGGCGAAAGTAGTAGTGGTAATTTTTGGAGCCGTAGTTGTGAGATATGGCCATAATTATGTGGCAACTGCCATCAATGGCTTTTTCTCAAATGATGGTTACCGCCACCCACCCAAAATAGGCAATGCACCCCATAAGGAGCTCACCCCTAACATCACCGCAGTTTTGGGAATTTTGAAACTCAGCTACATCTATTTCGCATTTTTGGTCCCCTGTGGGAATTTCCCCTACAACATTCCCACATTCCGCAATTTTGCATTTTTAGCCACTACATCTAAAAATAGATTGCTTCTCATATCAGGGCCTTCCCCCATTATTCCCACACTCCGCAATTTTCGCATTTTTAGCCACCCCACTACACCCAAAACATCACCCATTTTGGGAATCTCCACAATATCAATTATTCCCACACCCTCCCCACCTCACTGCAGCTTCACCACTACACCACAATAGCTCCCCCTTTATATACAAGTAGTAGTTTAGTATATGTGTATATAATATAATATAATAGACCACTTTTTTTGTTAATTTGTGTGCCTCCTCCTCTTCCAGGGGCCATTTAACATATGTTAGGGTAAAGAACACTTTCGCATTTTTGCCCCTTTGGTGGGGAAGTGTTCTATGATATTCAGAATATGTTTATGAGCATATATGAGTAGATTCCCATCTTTATTTGACCCCCTGAAGCGTCCTACATCAATAGATATAGCACATATGCAAGAAAATACAAAATATATTCCCATTTAATTATTTCTAAATGGACAGACTTGGAAAAAATGATTCCCAGCATCTATTCAAAAATAGGAACAATGTATCAGCAGCCCAGGACCATAGGATAATACCCTGTTGCATGGTGTGCCCTCCCTCTCCTGATGGTTCACCCCCTGTGAAACTTTTTCCTGTAGGACCGGACCTTGATTGAGGTGAGGGGTCTATTTCTATGTATATTTGGAGTAGATCTATCATATAGCTGGCTCAGGACACACATAGGATCCTGCTACAAGAACAAAAACATAGAAAATCCCACTTTTGACATTTTTGATGTTTTTCAGTATCTTAATCTTGCATAAATGATCAGCCCTACTCATATATCATAAGTAGTACACTCACACATATATTCTGTGCCAAGGATCAGCCCTACATAGGGCGCAAATTTGATATCTGATGTACAGGGGGTATTTCTACTGATAAAAGGTCTACATAGTAATCAAGCCTGTGATAAGTGATCAGATACCTGGGATACCTCTCATATATGTCCCAGATGATGTAGCTGAAGTTTTAGAAAGATCCATGAAGGACTGACTGAATAAGTACAGGTCAAATATATCATTCAAAATATGTAGGATATATGGTAGACTACTAAAAGAACCTATACTACATACTGCCCTGTAAAGGCGTTTGCTACTGAGATGCACCTGCACTACTGGTACTGGTCTTATAGTAAGTGCGTCAGGAACTTGAATATATGAATGAGAGACTGAAAATAATCTAGGATGCGAGCCGATGTCACTCCAATGCTTGCCTATGTTCATTTTGGCTTGAGCTCGTACCTATCACCTCCTGGACATCCTTATCTCAGATCCTTCGGCTTCTCTCGTCTCGGACGTCTCGGCTTCGTAGTCCAACACCCTGAGGTTAGAGGGTTATGGAAGGAATGTGGTGTGTATCTGAGTTTACCTAGTGTTAAGAACATGCTCAAGGGTCGGATCCGAAGGGCTTGGCTTCAGCTCGTGCACTGCGCCCCTTACCCGAGTACGTGCCCCTAACTTCCGAAGGCTGTAGAACGATGTCCGAAGGTTACCGGACGATGTCCAGAGGGCGTCAGGCGATGTCCGGAGTCCGATGTCCGATGCGCGGGAATTCCGGCGGACGTTCGGAAACAAGAGATAAGACTAATCCGGACGAAGTCCAAACTAGAAAGGAAACAGC